AGGAGGGATGCTGAGCATCGTTTCATGTGTCTGTTGGCCATCTGGATGTCCTCTTTGGAGAAGTGTCTGTTCATGTCTTCTGCCCATTTCTTCACTGGGTTGTTTGTTTTTCGGGCGTGTAGTTTGGTGAGTTCCTTATAGATTCTGGATATTAACGCTTTATCTGATATGTCATTTGCAACTATCTTTTCCCATTCTGTTGGTTGCCTATTAATTTTCTGGGTTGTTTCCTTGGCTGAACAATGCACAGTTATTTCTAAGGAGGAATTAAATCTACGAGTCCTAGATACATTTTTTAATAAAAAGCATCAAGTTCCATTAGAATGGAGCATGTGATTACACCATTATGAGAAGAAAACAATCTTGCATTGCTTACATTTTAAAGGGCAGGGATAAGAGTGGAGAAGTTGGCAATTGATACACATCTTCATAACCCTTGAATTATTTTAAAACAGCCCGTGTTTTGTTTTATAAATCAAAACACGAAGGTGTCAACAATTTTACTAACCAACAAATAGGTGATAGATATTGGGCATGAGAGAGAAAGAAAGGTGTGACCATTAAAAACCTAGACTCTGTCCAGGGCCATTTACCAGCTGGGAGTGCATTCGCTTTCTGAGTCTGCAACAAGAAATGACCACAAATTTGGTGACTTGAAACAGTTCATTTATCATCTTACACCTCTGTAGGTCAGGAACCCACTGGCTAAGATCAAGGTGTAGCTGGGGTGTGTTTTCTGGAGACTCTAGCGGGAGAATCCACTTCCTTGACTTTTTTCGACTCCGGGAGGTTGCCCAAATTCGTTGGCTTTTGGGCCCCATCTCCAAAGAGGACCGTCTCACCGCCTGGACCTCTGCGTCTGTCCCCACATTTCTCTGCTTCTCTTTCACTTATTTCTGAGCGAGTTTGACACGCGAGTTCCCTTTCCGCCCCGGATCCAGCAGGCCACTCTCAGTTCTGAATCCCACCTCCCTTTTTGTGCTTACAGTATTTCTCTTTCTCTTCTTCTTCTCTCTTCTGCATTTGTTCGCCTCTGTCCCCCAGGTAATTTCCTCTCTTTACAGGTAGGAAGTGTAGGGGGTAGAACACCTTACCCACAGGACACTTGGCTGTGTGCTCTTACTGCCACTTAACGTCGGTGCTTTTCAGGGTTGTTGTAACACATGTGATAACGTGTGAGACACATTCTTTTATTATTATTATTATTATTATTTTAAATGTTTATTCATTTTTGAGAGAGAGAGAGTGTGTGTGTGTCTGTCTGTCTGTCTGTGTGAGCAGGGGAGGGGCAGAGAGAGAGGGAGACGCAGAATCTGAAGCAGGCTCCATGCTCTGAGCTGTCAGCCCAGATCTGTCAGCACAGAGCCCCGCGTGGGGCTGGGACTCACCAACCGGGAGATGATGCCCTGAGCGCAAGTCGGAGGCTCAGTCCACTGAGCCACCCAGGTGTCCCAGAGACACGGCATTCTTCATGCACGGCTGTCAGTACTCGTTCCCGGTCTCTCTCCGCCCCTCTCCAGACCCTCACCCAGGCCTCCCTTCCCAGGCCCAACGCGGTGACGTCAGAGGAGGAGGGCCGAGGGGTCGGGGTGGGGGGAGGCGGGGGGGGGCAGGGCGGCAGCTGTGGGAGGAGAGAAGCTGAGCGGAACAGCCGGGTCCCCACTGGCCGGGAATTTGCTGGCCGAGGTCCTTGCGGTCTTGGGTGGAGGAGGTTTGCCGGCCGCACCGGCCCTGTCTCCCCCTCCACCCCACCCCGCACCCCCCGGGGTTGTTCATTTGGAATTTGCTGCTGTTTCAGCTGCTTCCAGCCTCCACGGGGCTCTGCCTGTGGTCGATACTGACGACTCCCTGGGGCTTTTCTTTATTTACAGAGCTGGAGGGTGAACACGGGGCAGGCCTCACCCCCCGAGGGTTTCTCCAAGCCTCTTTTTCTCGCCGACACCCCAAAAGCTCTACGCTGCATAACAAAGGGACTTCTAGGGTGGGAGGGGGACACTTAAGTGCACTGACTGTAACTCTTCACCGTAGTGTGTGATAAAAGCCTCCAGGAAAATAAATTGGCTTCTGGAGGGCCCTTATGGTTGATCCCTTCCCTTCCCATTTTCTTCCTTGCTTCCTCATATGTCCCTCCTCTTGGGTTTTAATAGGGACTAAAATCAGATTTTAAAACGGAATTATTACAAACACAAGTGCAAAGGAGAACACTTTTAAAGGTGATGCTGAGAACATTTTGTGTTTAGAAATCAAGTTTGTTCAGAGTCTTAGGAACTTCACTGAGAAATAAGTATAATCAAAATCGGAACAGTGGAACGATGGGGGAAAACTGAGGGAAGACTGCCTAAGAGGGAAAATTATTATTATTTTTTTAAGTTTTCCTTATTTATTTTGAAAGAGAGAGAGAGCCTGTGTGCAGGAACACAAGTGGGGGAGGGGCAGAGAAGGAGGGAGAGAGAGAATCCCAAGCAGGCTCCTCACTGTCAAGAGCAGAGCCGGACTCGGGCTGGATCTCACAACCATGAGATCATGACCTGAGCTGAAATCAAGAGTCAGCTGCTCGGGGCGCCCGGGTGGCTTAGTCAGTTAAGCGTCCGACTTTCGCTTAGGTCATGATCTCGCGGTTCATGGGTTCACGCCCCGCGTCGGGCTCTGTGCTGACTCCCAGCTCAGAGCCTGGAGCCTGTTTCAGTCTGTGACTCCCTCTCTCTCTGACCCTCCCCTGCTCAAGTTGTCTCTCTCTCTCTCTCCTAGAAATAAATAAAACATTAAAAAAAAAAAAAAAGAGTCAGCTGCTTAACTGACTGAGCCACTCAGGCTCCTAATTTTTCTTTTTAAAGAATGGTTAAGTGCTACCTTCTGTTTGTAGGACAACTTTCTTATTTTTATGAAAGCAATACAGTTCATCAATAGATGGAAATAAAAGAAAAAAGAAAGGATATACACTGCATGTGCTATTTTTAATTTAAAAGGTCTTTAGGGGCACCTGGGTGGCTCGGTTGGTTAAGCGTCTGACTTCGGCTCAGGTTGTGGGCTCATGTCAGGCTCTGTGCTGACAGCTAGGACTCTGGAGCCTGTTTGGATTCTGTGTCTCCCTCTTTCTCTACCCCTTGCCCGCTCACACTCAGTCTCTCTCTCTCTCTCTCTCTCTGTCTCAGAAATAAACATTAAAAGGTGTTTAACTGGTCCCAGTCACTTTGCTATAATGAAACTATCATAGCTGGATGACTTGAAAAACAAATACTTTTCTCAGTGTGCTGGAGGCCAGGAAGTGCAAGATCAAGCTGCGAACAGAATTGGTACCTAGCGAAGCCTCTTTCCCTTCATAGCTGGTATCTTCTCACCATGTCCTCACATGGCAAACTGAGAGACCTTGGATTTCTTCTTCCCTTTTCAAGGACCCTAATCCCATTCAGGAAGAGTCCACCCTCATGACCTGTTACCTCCCCAAGGCTCTCTCTGCACATATTATCAACACGAGGTTAGGTTGGGATTGCAACATATGAGTTCTGGGGGTCACAAACATTCAGGCCACAGCAGTGTCACTTGTTTGTTGTTGTTAATTTATATAACTTGAGAGAGAGAGAGAGCATGGAGGAAGCAGAGAGAGAAAAGGGGAGAGAAAGAATGCCAAACAGGCTCCGCCCTGTCAGTATGGAGCCTGATGCAGGGCTCAAACTCATGAACCTGAGCTTATCGATATCAAGAGTCAGACCCTTAACCAACTAAGCCACCCAGGCGCCACTGGTATACAGCAGTGTCACTTCTAAGTGAACTTGAATTCAACTAAGAGGCCAAAGAATTGCTCAGGTAAATATGTCTCCACAACAGGGTTATCTGAAATATTGCAAAGTGTTCTGAGCCACTGTTTTCTGCATTTGACTGGGTATATCTTCTTGGGGTGCAGAAGTTTTGAACCCCAGGAAGCTGTGAGTGCCGTAGGTTTCTTTGATCTCTGTGAAGACCATGTTGGATGCAGAGAGGTGTTTCTACCTTGAAGGATTTTTCTCTCTTTTTCCAGAGTTACCCATCTCACCTGCCCACTATCTCAGGACCGGCTAACAACAGCAAGAATTCTTAGCATTTTGCCAACTAACCGCAGTACTATTTCTCAGGCTATGGATGACCTCTTGGCAGAGTGAGTAGGGGAGAGTGGTTAAGTATCATTCTAAGATGAACCAGAATCTTATTATTATTATTTTATTGTTTTTTTATTTTTTTGCAGAGGATTTGGAACCAAACATTCTGGCTTCAAATATCCATTCTTACATAAGACATAGTTTGAAGAGAGCCCCGTACATAGAAGGGCTCAGTAAATGTCATGCATTTGTTAAATTCTATTCACGTTTAGGTTTCATGGAATGTTGTTATGCCCCATTCCTTCTTTGCTTTATACTAAGAAATATATTTTTTATGCTCTTACAACTTTTTTAAATTTAATTTCATTAGATACTGATGGAAGGGAATTTTGTGATCTAGCCTCCTCTTTGCATAGAAGTTCTGGTGTCTGCCCTCTAAAGGAAGTAAGCATTTAGGCTAACCAGCGTGTTCCTGGAATGATTTTACCAACTTCCCATTATAGAATTTTCAAATGTTCAATTTTTACATTAACTTGAAAAAAATGCATACACCTTTTTTTTTTTTCTCCTGGTCACTGAAATATATAGCCTCCCCACCCTAACTCTGTAGTCTCTTTCTCTCTCTGTCTGTCTCTCTTTAAATCCCATGTAGGAAATTTAAATAGGGTGGCTTGGAGAAAGAAAAACAAAACACAGTAACATCCTTATAAAGGAAGAAAAATAATCTATTTGAAAGGATCCGGAAACCAGTCTTTATAGACCTGACGGAGGCCTGGACACTTGTAGGGGACACTCATGGACACTTCTTGGCTTACAGATGTTTCTCAGTGATGACGCTAACAGAGCCAGGGGGCAAGGGAGCCCCCCAAGGCCACCTATTTCCTTCAGCTAGCCTCCTCCTAGGGCCCCATTCCCTCTGGTCTGGGGCCTGGATTTCAGGTGTATAACGCTTGGGCTAGTTGGATTTAGGTTGGCCATTCATGGAGGAAGTTCCCATTTCTTGAAGACACTAGGGGGGCCCCAATGGAGCCAGGGACATCAGAAGCCTCCCACCCCACCAGCAGCCAGATGTCTTGCCCTCATTTTTTTTTTTCTTACCCCAGAGGCTGGGTGCTAGGCTGCAAGTGCCAGAGAGGCTGGAGGCTGACCGAGGTTCACGCATTCTGATAGACAAGAGACTAACGGACCGTTGGGTGTGAGGAAAGCCTCTTTTCTTAACCCACTCACACCCCCTGAGCTAACCGCCAGTTCTGTCCCTAACCCACGAGGGCCTCCATCTGACCTGCAAGTCCAGGGGAGGTCTAGTGACTGCCAGGCGATGCTCATAGTGATCTCTCTCTATCTAGAAGGTACTGGGGTCTGTCCTCACCCTCTGCTACTGCCAAAAGCAAACAAAACCCCACCACCCCTGTTTTATGTGCTGTGGATAGAAAAATAAACATCCCCACTAAGCTGGCTACCCATTGGACTACTGAAAAAGATCCTTTTTTTCTTTTTCTTTTTTTTTAAATTTTTATGCATTATTGAAAGAGAGAGCGAGCTTGAGCAGGGGAGGGGCAGAAAAAGGGAGACACAGAATCTGAAGCAGGCTCCAGGCTCTGAGTTGTCAGCACAGAGCTGGATGAGGGGCTCGAACCCACATATCGCGAGATCATGACCTGAGCCGAAGTCGGACGCTCACCGACTGAGCCACGCAGATGCCCCGAAAAAATCCTTAACAAATGGTGCAGGCTCCCAACGGGACTGATGACTTCTAATGGCAAGTGCAGCAAGGCTAAAGAAGTCAAACAAAAAGCCAGGTATGTAACCACCATGATTATGTGAGGTTTTGACTTGGGACACTGATGTAAATTCTATTTATAGCCTGTTTATTTTGTTCACCTAAAATATCATTTTTTTCACTACATTTTCCAACTAGCCATGGATGCTACTGATCTTTTCGTTTTTAAACTTATTAAACAAGATGTTAGCTCTTAAAGTGAAGAGATAATACCATGTTAAGGAAATATACTTGTATTTCTAGTGTGCCAAAATATATAAAATCTGGAATGAACAAAGCGTCTTACTAAATTTCTTTTTTTTTTATTGATCCAGTAGATTTTCAGATTTTAACTTCTTGCATTCATAGAATGTGTGCACTCAATTATGGTAAGTTATGTTTCCATTAAGGCGTTAAAATTACTAATCCTTCCTTTTTTATGAGTTTTGACCCTTTTTTTAAATGAACTTCATCTAATCAGCAGTCTTAGATTTTTATTCTGTGGAACCGTGGTCAGGAACATACTGGTAAGTGAACTACTCAAATAACTTTGAGTACAAAGTTTACATGTGTGCCATGTTTACATACGTTTTTGCAAGTTCAAAGTCATATCAGCATGGAGGCTCTGAGCACTCCTGCAGTAAATAATACTCCTTCAATTGATTTCATGCAACACTTTTTATATTCACTTAAAAAGGAAACGTTTTCCCCTGTGATATTTATTAAAATATATGGGTCAGACTTCTTTGGAATACCAACTTTGGGACACATTGATCTGTGGATTTTTTTCATATACTGACTTTGCAAGGTTTTGTACCATAGCTGTGTTAACTTTATAAGATCTAGGAGGCATGGACAAACTTTTGCCAATATTTTCACGTATTTATGTTAAAATAACATTGTTTATGATTATAAAACTCCTGGATGTTTACTATAGAAAATGAAGAGAGTACCTGGACGGCCCAGTCAGTTGAGTGTTCAACTCTTGTTTTCAGCTCAGATCATGATCCCAGGGTTGTGGGATCAAGCCCCATGTCAGTCTTTATTCTAAGGAACTGAGCACAGAGCCTGCTTAAGATTCTCTGTGTGTGTGTCTGCGCTTCTCCCCCACTCTCATAAACATGTTCTCTCTGTCTCTCTAAAATAAATATTTTAAAAAATGAGGAGGGGTTCCTGGGTGTCTCAGTTGGTTAAACATCTGACTCTTGATTTCTGCTCAGATCATGATCTCACTATTCATGCATTTGAGTCCCTGGTTGGGCTCTGTGCTGACAGTGAGAAGCCTGCTTGGGATTCTCTCTGTTCCACTCTTTGCCCCTCCCCCACTTGTGTGTGCCCTTTCTCCCTCAAAAATAAATTTAAAAAAAAGAAAATGAGGAAATACCAAAAACAATACAAAAATATCACCTATATATAATCCCATTATTAGAATAACTCTAGTTAACATTCTGATCAATTATTATACATCTGTATCTATATAGTATCTGTCTATATATGTACATATATTTAGGTATTTATAAAATTGGGATTATTTTGTATACACTTCCATGTTGTATTCTTTTACCCATGATTTACATCTTGAACATTTTACTATATACACATACATTTAAACATAGTTTTTTAATGGCTGTGTAACGACATCTTAACTCACTTACTGAAATTGTATTTGGTCATTTTCCATTTTGGAAATTAGATTGTTCCAGAACTGTGGTAGTCACAATAATTGTGTTAAAAATATCTATTTTACTTACCTCTTTTGTTTTTAGTGTTTATCTTGAGAGAGAGAGAGAGAGAGAGAGAGAGACAGTGCACGAGCAGGGGAGGGGCAGAGAGAGGGGGGACACAGAATCCAAAGCAGGCTCCAGGCTCTGAGCTGTCAGCACAGAGCTCAACATGGGGCTTGAACTCATGACCTGTGAGATCATGACCTGAGCTGAAGTCGGATGCTCATCCAACTGAGCCACCCAGGCGCCCCTGTTTTATTTACCTCTTGATCTGCATTTCTGATTATAAGATGGATTCCTAGAAGGAGAATTGAAACAAACAATTAGAGGGGTTTTGATACATAGTGACAAATTATACTGTATAAATGTTGTATACATTTATACTCCCAGTCCCTGGAAATGCATGTACCAGTCTGAACTTCTGATGCACTCGGTATCTTCTTTTCCAAACATTATGGAGAATCTGCACATGTTGACTGACATCCTTTTTGGTACAGATTAAAGTATGTGTAAGAGAACGGGTTTTTCTCTCCTTTTTTTTCCTTCCTGGATCGCCATCCATATAGAGCCCTCAGTGAGAGAGGGGCATATTTTCAAAATATAAGCCAAGGTGTGGGGAGTTTAGAAAGATTTACCAGCTTAAACTTAGTCCCTGCAGTTTATAAGTCCATATATCTTCTAGACAGTCCTTGCCGAGGTCAGTCTGGTGAGGATCTCACCACCTTTCCTTTTCCCTCCCATTACCCCTTCCCAATTCAGCCTCGGAATAAGTAGGGAAGCTGAATGGAACAAGAAAAATGGCTAGACGGGGCACAGAGGACTTGCGGTGGGCAGCTTGGGGAACGGCCCAAAGAGCTGGCAAAGAAGAGGGAGAAGGCCCAGGAAGAAAGTTTGCTGCTGGTTGCAGACACATGCTTAGGGTAGCCCTTGAGAAAATAGGATTAAAGCCCTGTGCTCATGGATGGAGTTTGAAAACAGGTTGAATATAAAAAAGAAGTTGCTCCAAAATGTCTGCATGGTTTAGAATCTATCACATACACTTGCGATAAGACATGATTGGTCTTTCTCTGGGATTCTGAGTGTGTGTTGGATTGGACAGCACGAAGCCTGCCCTGTTGCTGTCTGTTGCCCTCCAGGGTTTCAATGCCATCAAGTCGTAGAGATGAGCCAAGGGCATGGTTGCTAAACTGTTAGAAAAATAGTTTCAAGAAGCTGAAGTAGACCCTGAGAAAGTGGTAACGGTACCTAAAATGTGTTCTAGGGGAAGAGAGGATGCTGTGGTCTCATTTCTGTAAAAAAAAATTTTTAATGTTTATTTTTGAGAGAGAGAGAAAGAGAATATGAGTCAGGGAGGGTTAGAGAGAGAGGGAGACACAGGATCTGAAGCAGGCTCCAGGCTCCGAGCTGTCAGCACAGAGCCTGACATGTGTCTTGAACCCACGAACTGTGAGATCACAACCTCAGCCAAAGTCAGACGCTTATCTGACTGAGCCACCCAGGTGCCCCGTGGTCTCATTTCTAAAGATGAAGTCTGTAACTTAAAACTGATGGCTCAGTCACAGAGTCGGAGTTACTCTGTGTTGTGAAAGATGCCAGGTAGCTCATAGCAGGGTGGGGCATGTGTGCTGCTGGGAACAAGTCCATATCAATTAATGTATTTTGGGGGAAAAGTAGATTATTTTTGGAAGACGACATTAGATTGACGGGTAATAAGATAAATCCAAACAGAATGGGATTTGCTGGTTTCATTTCCAGGATCCCGGGCTTTGGGGCTCTGATGGGAAACAGGAGAAGCCACACATCCATGTGGGATCACATCCATGTCTTTCCACCAAGTCTGGAAAGTCAAGGGTGGACATGGGGTGCAGAAAAGGCAGGGCCGAAGTAAGGAGGAGCTTAAACTATGGAACAGATCCACTCGGAGGCTGAGAGACAAAGGACTTATGGCAGGTAGAATCCAAAGGTGATGCGTGAATTGGAAGCTGTGAAAGCGGTAACTCAGTGCATTATTGAGTGCTGGTCCTTGAGTCTTTGGAAAGGTAGAGAGGGCTGAGAAAATGCATGCCAGATTTCTGACTATCAGAGAATGAGCAAAAAGTTCTAATTATATAATGAGATTACAAAAACGTTTTCTGTGAGGCAGTAACAAAGACCCTGAAAATATGGGGCTGGTTCAGCCAAGCACAGGGTCAGGCTTGACTCCTGGCTCTTCTTACAAAAGCCACCTGAGAGCCTCCTGGAGCTGTTTGCTAGTGTGTGACCGAAGTGGTGGGCGGGGAAGGCAGCGCCAGGGAGAATTAGGAGACTCAGGACAGAGCAGCTGAGGCTGCATGGTGGACCCTAGCTCGCATCTCGGAGGATGACCACGAGCTGACAGATTGAACTGATGGTGGCTCTTCTCTTTTTTTTTTTTTTTTTTTTAATATTTTTATTTATTTCTAGGAGAGAGAGAGAGAGACAGCGTGAACAGGGGAGGGTCAGAGAGAGAGGGAGACACAGACTCTGAAACAGGCTCCAGGCTCCGAGCTGGCAGTCAGCACAGAGTCCGACGTGGGGCTCGAACCCACGAACCGTGAGATCATGACCTAAGCGAAAGTCGCTTAACCGACTAAGCCACCCAGGTGCCCCTATGGCTCTTCTCTTTTAAAGGCAGAGAGCCTTGAGACAGCAAACCCCACTTGGTCCTGGGGGCGGGGGGGGGGGTGAGGTGGAAAGGATGCGTCAACTTTCGTTATCTATGAAAACTCGATGGGCATGAAATCACCAGCTTCACTCTCCTAGAGGGACTACACTTCCATGTTGAAGTTAAACAATGTGTCTTAATGGCCAGTTGGGTGATTTTGATACAAACATGTTGGACATTTGAGTCAGAATCTTACCTGACTCATTACGGATCCCACAACCTCCCTGACCTTTGGAGACCCCGTGATCCCCCTGAAGGATTTGACAGTGCCCCCTCCAAAGAGTCACACGTGTTATATTTGTCATTGTTTTAGTCTTCTTCAGTCTTTCCTTCACCTTCAGACCTTGACACGTTTGACGACTACGGCCACTTACTTTGTATATCCTCAACTTGAATTTCTCTTGCTCTTTGCTCGTCATTAGTTTTAGGTTATGCATTTTGGCCAGAGTATCACAGAAGTGACGCCGGGTTCCTCATGCTATCAGATGTCACATGATTTCAACTTACCCTGTTACAAATGATGTTCATTCTCATTACTTGATTGAAGTGATGTCTGCCAAGCAGTTTCTTTGGCAAAAGTCTCTCATACAGCTCCCCTGTAAGACAAGCCTCTGATGCTGTTCTAATTTAGTGCATTCATCTTATAACCCTATGAATTCACCTCTCTCAGATGTAGGAGCGATGGCACACGCAAGACCACTGACCTGCTTTCTCAGTATTGGCACCATTCTCGTGCCACGTTAGCCTTTTTTCTTTGATTATTTAGAGCATTTCTCTTAGCTCCTTAAAAAATGTTTATTTATTTTGAGAGAGAGAGGGAGAAAGAGAGAGCACTCATGCAAGAGAGGAAAAGGGTCAGAGAGAGAGGAAGAGAGAGAGAATCCCAAGCAGGTTCCTACCTGTCAGTGCAGAACCCGATGTGGGGCTCAGACTCACAAACCATGAGATCATGACCTGAGCCGAAATCAAGAGTCAGATGCTTAAGTGACTGAGCCACTCAGGTGCCCTTCTTAGCCTTATGCTGATGGGAGGGTAAGGAGAGGGGGATGGCAAAAGCAGATGGGAGAGGAAGGGCTGTGTCTGCATCTGCCATCATGAATTGAGCCTGCACCCAAGCCTGGGTG